CCGCCCCTGGGCCCGCCGGGTCCCTCCTGCGGCAGAAGCTAGCAAAAGCCTTCGGAGCTGGGGTGCAGCCCCGGGGTGCAGCGCCCGTCCAAGCTGGGTCCTCAGCCCCACAGCCACACAGCTGGACGGACAGGGCGTCGCGTGCAGTGTTGTGCACTTAGCACGCCGGGTTTGAGCCGAGCACCGAGAAACAAACAGCCAGCCGTGAATAGAGGACGGAATAAAGAAACAGGGTGAGCCCACCTTGGAGGCCCACGCCTGTCATCCCAGCGCTCTGGGAGGGCGAGGCAGGAAGATCGCAACCTGGAGCCGGGCTGGGGCAACCTAGTGACACAGCCTGTCTCAAAATAATAAAAAGCCCAGGGATGGCGCTCGGCATGGAGGCCTGGGTCCCAGCCCCATGAGCACTGGGGTGCAGCTCTGTAGTAGAGCTCTGGTTGTGCTGGAAAAGGGTTCCTTCAGGGACCAATGGTGTTCTCGTGGGGTCATGGATTTAGAAGAGGTTTTATTTTCCTCTTTGTAGGAATTTTCTTTTTTGCATTCTTTGTTCCTTTCTTACAGAGCTGGGGCTTGAACCCTAGCATTGAGCAACATCCCCAGCCACCCCCTCCCCCAAGGGCTTTTCTTCTTATTTTCAGACAGAGCCTCACGATGCTGTCCAGGCTGGCCTCCAACTTCCATCCTCCTGCTTCAGCCTCCAGAGCACTGGGAGGACAGGCGCCACACCCGGCCCCACCTCTGCCCGACTCTCTACAGAGGGACTTCATGACTTTAGCCAAATGTGGAGGTGCACGCCTGTCATCCCAGCACTTGGGAGGCAGGAGGATCACATTGAGTTCAAGCCTAGTCTAGCCCACATAATGAGTTCAAGGCCAGCCTGAAACACACAGCAAAACCCTGTCTGGAAAAAATAAGACAAAAAAAGTTCACGACTTTTTACTGTGGAAAAAAAATTATCCCATTAGTGTTGAGGGAGCTGTTGAGGTGCTGGTGGGCTGGTGATGGCTTATCAGCAAATGGACATTTTACTGTAGTGGTAGAAATGTCCTGAGTGGATTGTGGCGGGGTTGTGCAGCTTGGCAACTTCACTGGACAACTGTTGTGCACGCGGAGCGAGTGGGTAGGTTTTATGTTCTGTGCGTTACACTTCAGGAAAGCGGTTTGGAAAGCTTTGAAAAGCCTCTGACTGGGCTGAGCCCAAGCTCAGCAGCCCCGGCTGGGGCAGCACATGGGCGGGTGGGATCTGTAGAGGAGGCTTGCACCTTTGGGCCCAGGTGCGGGTACAGCAGGTAGGGCACTTCTGGGTCAGCGCAGAGATGCACTGGAGAACAGGCGGCACCCCTAGCTTGGCTGCGTCCAGGAGCACAGAGTGGGGTCCCCGAGTGCTGTGCCCCAGGGCCAAGCCGGCCTCACTTCTGGGGCAGAGCCCACCACATCACCTGTACTGCACGGGTTCTGCATGCTCACATGGTGCCCGGGCTCCCAGCACCTCGGCCGCAAGGCCACACCTCAGCGGGCAGGGGCTGGGCATGGGTGGCAGAGCCCTTGGTGGGCATGTGGGAGGACCTCGTCCACCCCGCCAACCCTAACCCTAAGTGATGGTGCAGTGGCCGGGGGAAGGCAGGGCAGGTGAGGTGGGGGCGGTGCCAGACACAGGGTCAGCAAGCCCCAGGAGACCCCGGAAGGTGCACAGTTCCTGGAGGCTTCACCCCCGGCCCCTCTCAAGCTGGAGGTGAAGAGCAAGGCTTTGACTCGCAACACCTACAGCCTGCAAGCGGCACCGGTACTGGCCGCCTGTGCCGGGGGCTTGAGCTCCCAACAGAGCACGCCCAGCCTGGCCTGCCCTGCGTCCCTGGACTCAGGCCCACCCTTCTGACCACGGGGAAACTGAGGCTCGGAGAGTGTGAGAGGCATGGGACAGCCCGGGTCCCTGCAGTTGGAGGCAAGCTCTGTCCTGCCTCACAGCCAGGCTACCTGGGCTTCAGTGCTCCCCAAGGGCAGACGGCTCTGGGAGGACCTGCACCCCAGTGAGCCCACCGCACTCCCCTCTGCTGGACCCTCCCTGCACTGGAGGGTGGGAGGCTCCCCAGGGCCACTCCAGCCTTCTGTCACCTGCCGTGCTTTAGCAGGTAGAGGACAGCTGCAGGAGGCTCTGGGTCAGCTGCTCTATGCCTGTCTTAGGTCTTTAATGTATTTATTAGGTGCCAAGACAAATGGTGGCAGCTGCACCAAGAATGACTATTTTGTTTCTGAGACTGGATCTTGCTATGTAGTCCAGGCTGGCCTCGAGTACCCAGTGACCCTCTTGTCTCAGCCTCCCAGATACTGGGATCACAGGTGTGTTCCACCCTGCCCAGCCGAGATTAATCTTTATTTTTACACAAACTCACTGCTTATCTTGGGGGTCATAGCTTTCTTCCCAGGTTGATAGGGCCCAGGGGAGGGACAGAGGCATCAGGGCCAGGATTGTGGCGTGCTGCTGGCTGTCTGTGGGCTTTTCCAGATGGACTAGAGTCAGGGCGAAGCTGGAAGAGACCTTTGCAGCCATACACCCCACTTGCCCAGGCACTGGTCCATGAGTGTGTCCCACCACTGCCACCAGAAACAAACCAGACAAACGAAAGCACGGCGCAGAATGAGGGGCCGGGAGCGTGGGGCTCACAGGCCAGTGGGCAGCTGTCCTCACACAGAGGCGTCCTCCATCCTGGGGACAACGCCGCCTTTGCTGACATGGGCCCTGGACCCAACTTCCTCCGGCTCACCATTTGTCAGGCACAGTGTCAGCACCGACGGGGACCTCAGAGAGCAGAAGAGGGAGTCCTCGTCCCAGATGAGGGGGCCGCGGAGACTGAGGCCCAAGGGAGGACACGGCTCTGTCCGCCTTGTGGATCCCTGCAGAACTGAACAGCACAGGGCCCTGGGTTGGAGACCCTGTGGGGATGGGGCAAACCTCAGGCCCTGTGTGTCATCCCCAGCGGCTTCTCAGCGCTTCGGGGCACCCGGCTCCTCCCCCTGGGTCACCTGAGGCAGCCCGGACTCTCACTGCAGCTGCTCTGGGAACTGGGAGGCTGGGGCTGTGGCCAGCGCCCGTGCCAAGACTGCACCTGAGAAATCTGGGTGGCGGTGGGGAGGAGGTGGTGGGCTGTGGGCTGAGGGGAGGGACACTGCTCTGTCCCCGGCCCACGTCCTGGCTGCCACCTCTGTTCCTCTCAAAGCCTGGCTGTGGCACCACGTGCTAGGCGCGAGCTCAGGCCTGGCTCTCCCCTCTCATTGCCTTCCACGGAGGAGCTCCCAGCCACAGTGAAACTGAGGCAAGTAGGTAAGGACAGGACTTGAAAGCTGTTTCCACGGAGAATGGCCCCGGTGAGGGTCTCTGCCACCCCAGGGACTCATAAGGAAGGGCAGGGTGCCATTCCCTGTGGACCTGAAGCCAACCTCCATGGCCTAACACCTGTTGAGCAAACGTAGAGGGAATGCGGGACTGCTGGACTGCGTGAGAGCCCCCAATACGGAGACCAAACCTGGGGCCCACACATCTTAGGGACTTGCTCTACCACAGAGCTGTACACCCAACCCTTCTATCTTTACTTGAGAGTAGGTCTTGTTTAGTTGGGTCTCTCACTCCAGGCACCATGCTAGGCCATCTGTAATCTGCACTCTGAGAGGCTGAGGCAGGACGATCTCAAGTTCAAGCCCAGCCTGGGGAATTTAGTAGGCTGTTTCAAAATAAAAAATGGGTGGGTTGTAGCTCAGTGTGAAGACCCTGCATTCAATCCCCAGCATCCTCCCTCCACCCCGCCAAAAAAAAAAAAAAGCAGCTCAGAGCGGCTGAGGACATAGCTCAGAGGTCCAGCCGGTGCTAGGTTCTGGGTTTGATTGCAGTACTGAAATAAAAAGGCTCACAGTTCAGGAAGATGCAGGAAACTGTTCCCAGGCCTCTTGACAAGGGCTGGGCAGAGGTCCTGGGCAGTGCCAGCCCCCTTGCAGGAATCGGGGCTTGACAGGAACTGGCTGGCAGAGGAGAGAGAACAAAACCCCAAACCAGCCTGTGCACGGGCCCTGCAGAGCAGGCAAGAGAGCCACGGCAGAGCAGGCCGGAGGGGCCAGGCCACCGAGATACTCTTGGCTGCTTTTTTCCATGTTCCATGCTGGGATGTGCATGCGGGGCTGGGGCTGCTGGGCTCCATCTCATGGTAACACAAGCTTATGTAGCGTGTGGTCATCTCAGCACACAGGAGGCTGAGGCAGGAGAACTGCAAGTTCAGGCCAGGCTGGGCTGTATAGTGAGACCCAGCTGCAAAAAACAAAAATGGTGCTGTGCAGGTTGGTACATGCTTGTAATACCAGTAGTTGGAAGGTTGAGGCAGGAGGATCACTGCAAGTTTGAGGTCAGCCTGGACTATATAGTGATACCTAGTCTGGAAAAAAGCCCAAACCACCCCCAAACAAAAAGACTTCAGATGTACAAAAAGCCAAAGAAAATAAAAATAAACATATTGGCATTTATTTTTCAGGGCTTCTATGTTTTGTTGTTTTTTTTTGTACTGGGGATCAAACTCAGGACTTTGTGCTTGCAAGGCAGGCAGTGGAACCACTCAGCTAAATTCCCAGTCCTTTTCAGGGCTTTTAAAATACATATATATGCAGGCCCAGCATAGGAATCTACTGTGTTATTTACAATACCAGACTGACAATAATACTTGGATTTCTGTTCTTCTTTCTTTCCAGTGCTGAGGCTTGAACCCAGAGCCTTTTCACTGAGTCACATTGCCAGTCCCTTTTTGAGACAAGGTCTGTATTAAACTGTGAAGTTGCCTAGGCTGGGCTCTAACTTGTCATTTTCCTGCCTCAATCTCCAAGTCCTGGGATCACAGGCATGCACCAACATGCCTGGCTTTTCTTTCCTTGTTTTGTTTTTTGAGATAGGTTTTTGCTTTGTAGTCCTGACTGGCTTCAAATTCAAGGTAGTCCTGCCTCAGCTTCCGGTGGTGGGATTTCCTGGGCCCTGGGTGGATTTTTTTTTTTTTTTTTTAAATCGGACAGGGTCTTGTCATGTAGTCAAGTCAGGCAGAGAATTCACTAGCCCAGGCTGGCCTCGAACTCCTGGAGATCCTCCTGTTTCAGCTTCCTGAGTGCTAGGATGACAGGTGAGCAGCACCCTGGCTGGCTTGGCTGGATTTCTGACTGTTGATGTAGAACCACACGTTCTAGGTAAACCCGCATAATTTTTTTAACCCTGGGTGTGGAGCCCTGGACCTCGAGTGCACTAAGCTGCTCTGCAGCCTCGAACTGAGTCTTTTCAGGAGAAGGGTGGCTACCATGGCAAGGACCCCGTGGTCGAGTAACCCGGAAAGGGGAGCTGTCACCAACGTTTCGTGACAGGACCCGCAAAATCCTCTATGATTCTGGAGCAGAGCGCGTTTGTCCTCTCGGGTGCGCGCCTGTCGAGGCCCGCGGGGTCCCGTCCCAGCCCCGCCGCGCGGACCCTTTA